CACAGGCCTCCTCTTACTTCTGAGACGGTTTTAGGCCAAGGAAGTGTTCGACGCGCTGCCCCAATGCGTGTTGGCGAACTTCACATGTCGAAGAAATATATTTTTTTCTTATTTCTCAGACATGCAGGTCCTCACGATGTATTCCTTCACCGCCGAGCACGTGGTAAATCAGCACTTAAAATTTCAATTAACATTTGCATTGGTGCCGGCGGGGATCGAACCCGGGTTTTTCGCGTACTGTGAAATTTACAGCAAGCGCTAACCATCTGAGCTATACATTTATTCTTTATAATATTTCATGTTAGTTCGACTATGGCGACTACAATCGGAGGATGCACTTGTACTTATTTCCGTAGCAATTAATTTACTATTTTTATTTTCCGGTGTAAATATTAAATATTACATTAAATAGACTGTGGATCTTTCCATATAATTTACAATGAATTTGACAACGTGTATTGTGTAATTTTTAGACGCTGCATACAAAAAGCGGTTTAGAGTTCCGAGTTCACTATTACTATTTAAGCGTCCCAGTTTAACTGTTATGTATGTAAAAGATGCAATCCATCGCATAGGTTACAGTGAACGCAAAACGCAGTACTCAACTCTAAACCACTCGCAGTGGAATCGACGCCTTCTTGTTTGTTATTTGCTACGGGTGACTGCGACGCAATGGGCGCTTACCATTAGATGGACGGTGCACTTTTATCAGCGTTAAGCAACATTTGCAGCAGGAGCTCATTCGTTACAATAACAGTTGTAATATTTATAACTGAAAGATAGCCGTGCGTGCAGCACACGGAATACGGTAATGGGTCTTGGCCCATTAGCACTCTATTAAAATATGAAATTGATGTGTTTTGTAGAGATGCAATCGTTTATGACAGTTAGAGACTAGTAACCGCAACCGTGTATCGTCTCGTGGGTGTCGTAAGAGGCGACAAAGGGAAACAGACCAGAATGTCCAGAAGACCAGATGAATGGGCAGCGTCTTAACACAATAAATATAAAATAAAAATAATTATAAATTTTAACAAAAAGTAAAAACCGACTTCAAATTGCTAAAAAAAGTTATTTATTTGTTACCCCGAGGTGTGGAATTTTATCTTCAAATGTATATACGACCATTCTTGAAGTATAACCTATTTAGTAAAAGAAGAATCATCAAAATTAATACACAATCTGCGAAGATATCGCGTAACATACATACAAAAAACATATTGAGAACCTCCTCCTTTTTTAAGTCGGTTAATAAACTGCAGTTGCCAAGTTACTGGCTATGTATGCCAACTTGTTGCAACAAAAAATTGTCTCGCAAGTCTAAATTTCAGTAGTAAAAGTTTCAATGGGCTTTAATGATTGAATGAATGAAAAGAGACTAGTAACGGAGTAATCGTCCAAAAACTTAGTTATCAAAAACTTAATATTCATACTTCTGTTAATACTTAAATCGCTTTTAATATATATTCTTTTTAGGTAACAAACGAGCACACAGTCCACCTAATTAAAGTGATAGCTGTGGTCCATAGACACGTCCATCTATCCTCGATTAAGAATCAAAATGCAGATGCGTTGTCACACCTGAAGATTCAGATGGAATGCTTCACTTCCAGTAAAAAAGGTTTATGGTTAACTACACTCCGATGCTCTAAAAGACTACCGATATTCTATAAGAGCGTGTTCCTTCCTCGGACGAGCGGACCCATTCGTGCTACAGCCATAACATAGCTGCAGCATGGCTTCACGACTAGAAAAAGCATATCCTATATATACTATTCATTAAAGCCCAAAAAAAACTTAATGTTTAAAATGGAACAAATTATGATAATTTGAGTGAATAAATAGGACGCTGTCAACTGCGCTGGAAATATCGTACTCGTATGCTGCAAGTGACCGAGTTAAAAACACAGGCACTCACTAAACTTTCCCCACCCGTGCACATCATCGTTATAGGCATTCATAAGTCCTCTGCTGAACAAAGCCTTTACCCAAGGAATACCACATAGCACGGTCCTGAGCTATCTGCATCCATATTTTCCCGAATGTTTTACCAGATGTCACTTCATCTCATGGGGGGCTCAAGGCTGCCACTCGAGATCCTTACTTTTTTGTTGTTGTCAAGTACTTCGAACTATATGGCCTGCCCCTTGCCACTTCATTTTATTGACCCTTGGGTCATGTCAATTACTTCGGTTCCACTGCCGAAATCTTCATTACAAATTTTATCATGAAGAGAAACTACTAAGCATAGCCCTCTTCATAGCTAGGTCGCCCACCTTCAGCCTTTTCATAACAGCCAGCATTGAAAGACCACGTCTCAGATCCACAAGTAATCATTAGCTACACGCACTGGTTATACACTCTTGTTTTTCAGTTTTGATGAATAAGATTGGGTTGACTGGTAGAGAATGCCTATTGGCATTAAGTACGCACATTATATTCTTTTGTAATGGGGAATGCAAAAAATATGTAAATATACATTAAAATAACGCTATTGTGACAACCGATAACGTAAAAGATATTATGTCACTATTTCTAAAGCTACGGCGTAGCAATCGTAGCAAAGTTCGTAGCTTAATATTTAATTTTTATGTAGAGTTGAACCGGAAAGAAAAAATTATAGAAAAAATATCTCTAAAATTACTGTTTGCAGAAATTTGATCTCAGAAGACGCTAATACATTCTATGTATTAGAAATTTCTTATTTTGTAGACACTACTAGGTTTTGGGAAGGATAACCATTGGATTAGAACTTGGGCTTTCTGAGAGCTCGTTATTTACCACTACACTTTTTCGACAACAAGTACACTTAAAATATCTTGTATAAATATATAAAAGTTTTAATATGAATATATGTTCAATTCTATTAATATTAGAGGTCCAAATGATCATACAGTGTGTGGCTACCGTAGCCCATGAATAGACCTGCAATCAACTACAAATGTAGAAAACTATTAATGCGTTTTCTACTGCTTGACTAAGTGGAATGCCTTACATACTTAAATTATACTGTTTCACTTATCCTTCAAACCGTAACGCAGTAAAAATTTAGATAATAGAATAGAATAATAATAATAAAAATAAATTGGCAACCGATATAAATAAGAAGGTGATACCAACCTAGACCGACTTCTAGGCAGAAAAGGATCACTACTTGAATAGAAATTAAGGTGTGTACTTAATTTAACCATAGAATACAGTAAAGAAGTAAATTTTGATATATATTAATACATTAGAGACCTTGCCCATATTTGATTTCAACGTGCTACGAAGCTACGGCGTAGACTGCTTCGGTACGTAGAAAATCCTCCAAGTTGTAATGTAATATTTGTATTTATAAATTAACATTTCGATACTAATAGATCAATTATACCTATAAAACTAGAAAACTACAAATTAGAAGTATATGGAAATTCACTACATAATCATAAAATTGCTTAAGAGTTTTGTTTTTTTTACAAGACTTTGTCTAGAAGTATTAAGATTCAAAATACTCACTGACTTGATCAGTGCAATTATCTAAACATTTCTACCGAATTGGCTTTTGTGGTAAACTTTGGAGATATATAAAATGTACTTTCTATTTGATAGGTAAATTTTTTTATATGAACTGAAATATTACGATAGTTGTTCATGGCTGGATCAATCTAAAGGCAAAGTCGGCCGCCTATTAGTCCCACGTTATCTAAGGGTTCTGCTACCTTATAAGAATACTTTTTTCATTGACGACATCCGTGTAAGTGTCAATGCTCACTCTCCTATTTTCTTTAACACCTTAAATGGAAGAGTGCTTACACTTCCTTGCCCACGAGCCTCTAACATATATTAACCCTACTCTGTAGTTGTTCAAGTAGGAAATCAACTCTATTTTTAGTTACTCTGTGCAGAAGTTCTGACTACAATATTTCATAATTCCAATAATTGTACGCAAAATTTGCAACTTGCATAAACTTGTAACTTAATTGATCGAAACTTGTATTTCTTGGTAGTTGTTCAACTATGCGATAGAGCTCTCTAGAGTAAATTTACAAGATCTTTAGTCTAAGAATTTTACAATTATATTTAATAGCATAAGAAATTTTCACTGAGAATACTAGAAAATTGTGTAACTTATAAATTGCCTTTGTACGTACTAATAACTAACTATCTAATAAATTGCGAATGTCGTGTAAAAATTTTAAGATAAAACAAACATAAATGAACAAAATCTAGAAAAATATGTATGACTGTGGATTTTTTATATATATAGATTTTTTGATGTACACAATATCTTAGATGACCGTCAACAATCTGGTTATTTTACACCTCTCATAAAAATATGGTTATACCGCCATCTATCGCAATCGATAAAATATGGTTGGCTTATCCCATAGTCGCCTCATTACGACATACTCCAAACGAAATGGGGGGTATGTTTATTTAGTGTTATTACCGTTATCGGTACAGCCTATTAAAGTCCACTGCTGAACATAGGCCTTTCCCATAGATTGCCTCATAAAGGGGATATTTGCCATAGTTTCCATGCTTGGGTTCGCAACCGCAGTATTCTATTTTTATTCGTTATTAAGAAGGCGCTGCTGCCCATTTACTGATTTGTTTCCCTCTGTCGCTTCTTACAACATGCACGAGATGAAATGTTATTAATGGAAATTAGATGAAATGAATGAATGAGGAAAGAAGGCTGGTTCTTTCCTCGCTCAAAGGCTAAGTACCTATAGCCATTCAGCGGGGAAACGCAGCTAGCGTTCTTGGCACGATACCGCGGGGAGTAGGACTATATGATAATTAAGTTTCTAGTTTTAGTTTTTTTTATTATCATAGTTTTTAATATTGTAGATAAAATTAAGTATTATGTAAAATTGTAAATAAAGTTTTAAAAACTTCAAAAAAAAATGAATGATAAATTAATAGATGATTAGATATAAAATGTATTATCAATCCTTTAATTATTATTATGAAATAACAAGATCAAGGCGCCATTACAGGTCTAATTTGCTCACCTCTTTGCTGCTGTTGTTTCCTCATTTGCTTCTTATGTTTCATGCGACGGTTCTGGAACCAGGTCTTAACTTGTGTCTCGGAGAGGTTCAGCGCCCCTGCCAATTCTACCCGCTCAGGAGTGGAAAGGTAGCGTTGGGATTCGAAGCGTTTTTCTAAGCCTGTTTTATTATTAGAGGATTTTTAGTAAATTGTTTAAGGAAAGTTTATAAAAGGCAGAATCATATAACTTATTTAGCAATTAATATGAAGTCTTGTACAAAGGAAAATACTTATTTTAATTATATTAAAGGCGTAAATTAACCTGTTAATTAGTGTTTGAGCTAAGATGATTTTATTTTGAAGCGCTAAAGATCATTAGTGCGTTATTTTTTTCCAAAACGGGAAGATTTATTGTATTGTAGAAAGAAAGAAAGAAAGAAAATTTATTTGTTGCTCCTACTAACAACATTTGTAAAAGATAAATCCTTACACGAATAATATTTACACTTTGCATGCTACGAGTAGAAATTCAAAATACATTGGAACATATTTAGAGTAGAAAATCCCATCACAATTTCTTAAACAACTCCTTACAAGATAGTGAGGCTTCTTCTCTAGACTAGATAGGTCCAATTCTGTGGCCTATTTCTACTTTCATCCATCATCTCTGCTTTAGATTGCCTCATAGAGGGGTTATTTGCTATAGTTGTCACGCTTGGTAGGTGGGTTGCCAACCGCAATTTAATATAAATATAAATAATTAACTTGTTATCAGAAAAGTACTGCAGTCCATTTTCTGTTTCAGATTCCCTCTGTCGCCTCTACGACACCTATGGGACAACTTGGGGTACGTACAGTAAACATAACGGTGCGTACACATTATATAACATAACATGTTATAAAACGTATATAACATGTTTCAGTAATGTCGAAGCTGAATGTTATATAACTCGAACTGCATAACGACAAACGACAATGTCATATTACCTTGTTATATTGCATTGTTATTCTAATGTGTACAGTATTGTTATATGTTGCAATGTTGGAAAACAATGTTACATAATGCGGACGTGTTATAAAACAAAAGTTACACTACATGTTACTTAATCTGTACGCTCCCTAAGAATATCATCATTACACGGTATTTCTACTTCAATAAGCAATAATGCATTCACTGCTGTGTCTTAGATTGAAGAGTAGATGATGTTTGGCCAAAAATATAGGTTAATTTGGTAAATTGTTCTTTTTTTCAAAGTAAATTGTTAAGGAAGAAATAGATAGCTAGCTTATCGCCTTCACAATCACAATCACATTAGTCGCTTTTTATGATATGTCATACAAGTGTGCCGTGTAGTGGCGGTCAAGAATACCACTACCCCATATCCTCCTGTGGGTGTCGTAAAAGGCGACAAAGGGAAACAGGCAGGAGATGGGCAGCAGCATCTTCGTGATAATAGCCAAAATTACAATAAAAAAACTGCGGTTGCCAACCCGCTCGCCAAGCGTGGCAACTATGGCAAATACCCCCCTATGAATGTAACAAAGAGACGGCCCCCAGTCCCCGGCGGCCCCGCTATTCCTGGCTACGGTGGCGACCATGGTAACGGCGGGGCAGGGGGTGCTAAGAATCTCCGGTGGAGGTTCGGTTGCCACCTTAGACGACTCGACCTGGCAACGTACAACGCACGCACCCTGAGGACTGACGAGAAGATCGTGGAGCTGGAAGAAGAGATAGACAAGTTGCGCTGGCATATTATAGGATTATCCGAAGTCCGAAGAGAGGGGGAGGACACGGTAATCCTCGAATCCGGCAACTTGCTCTATCACCGGGAGGGCGACCATCTGTCCCAAGGAGGTGTCGGATTTATCGTCCACAAGTCTCTAGTTAACAACGTTGTAAAGATCGGGAGTGTGTCGACGAGGGTTGCGTACCTTATACTCAGAATCACCAAACGGTATTCGCTGAAGGTCATACAGGTTTACGCACCAACCTCGGCACACCCCAATGGGGAGGTGGAGGAAATGTATGAGGATATCTCTAGAGCCATGCATTCCTCCAAAACCCAATATACGGTGTTAATGGGAGACTTCAATGCAAAACTAGGCACAAGAGAGAACGGTGAGCTGAAAGTAGGGAAATTTGGAATAGGGCAACGGAACCCAAGGGGCCAGCAGCTGGCCGACTTCATGGAGAAAGAGGGACTCTTTATGATGAACTCTTTCTTCCAGAAGCGGCCCCACAGGAAGTGGACCTGGTCGAGCCCCGACGGTTCGACAAAAAATGAGATTGACTTCATTATGACGACCAGACGACAACTGTTCAGTGATGTCTCCGTGATCGCGAGGGTGAAAACTGGTATCGATCACCGAATGGTTAGAGGCACACTGAACCTAAACGTTAAGTTGGAGAGGTCTCGTCTAATGAAGTCAACGCTCCGTCCCCCTCGTGCTCTGTTCCAAAGTCCCGAAACCTTTCAGCTCGAGTTACAAAACCGTTTTCAGTGCCTAGAAGACTGCAATGAAGTGGACGATATGAATGACAAGCTCGTGGAAACTGTCCATGCGGTCGGAGCTAAGTTCTGCAAGACCCGCCGCAGAAGAACACAAAAACTCTCCAATCACACTCTTAATCTCATGGCTGTTAGACGGGAGATGAAGCTACATTCTTCAACAGACTTGACAGCATACAGGCATCTGAACAGACAGATCTCCAAATGCATGCGGCGGGACTTACGCAACTTCAATACAGCTCGTATTGAAGAAGCGATCGAGCGGAACCAAGGCTCCAAAGTCTTTGCCAGAGATCTGTCTGCCAGAAAGAGCCACCTGTCAAAGCTGAAGACAGAATGTGGCAGCATCGTTTCCGGGACACCTGAGATTTTGAGTGAGATTGAGAGGTTCTATGGGCAGCTGTACACGTCATCGTTGGAGCCACACGCAAGTGTGAGTAACGATCCAAGAGCGAGTCTCATCCGACACTATTCCGAAGATATCCCGGACGTCAGTCTGAGCGAGATTAGAATGGCTCTCCAGCACCTTAAAAACGGTAAGGCCCCAGGCGAGGATGGAATTACAGCGGAGCTTCTGAAAGCGGGTGGAAGACCGGTACTTGAAGTCCTTCAGAAGCTCTTTAATTCCGTCCTCCATGGTGGCATTACACCGGAGGCGTGGAGCAAAAGTCGGTGGTCTTGTTCTTTAAGAAAGGTGACAATGCTCTCTTGAAGAACTACAGACCGATTTCCCTTCTGAGCCGCGTCTACGTGCTGTTTTCGAGAGTCATTACGAATCGTCTCGCGCGCAGACTTGACGACTTCCAGCCTCCCGAACAAGCCGGTTTCCGAAAGGGCTTTAGCACCATAGACCACATACATACCCTTCGGCAAATTGTACAGAAGTCCGAAGAGTACAATTTGCCACTATGTCTGGCGTATGTGGACTATCAGAAAGCCTTTGATTCCGTCGAAATTTGGGCGGTGCTGCAGTCCCTTCAGCGGTGCCAAGTTGACTGTCGGTATATCGAAGTGTTGAAGTGCTTGTACAGTAGGGCTACGATGGCTATCCGAGTACAGAACCAGAGTACGAAACCTATCCAATTGCAGAGAGGTGTAAGACAGGGTGACGTCATATCCCCGAAACTCTTCACCGCTGCATTGGAAGACGTTTTCAAGCTTCTGGACTGGAAAGGATACGGTATCAACATCAATGGCGAGTACATCACTCACCTTCGATTTGCCGACGATATAGTCCTTATGGCAGAATCGCTGGAGGACCTAAGCACTATGCTCAATGACCTCGATAGTGTTTCCCAACAGATAGGTCTTAAGATGAACATGGACAAAACAAAGATCATGTTCAATGTCCATGTCATACCTATGCCGGTAGTTGTTGGGAGCACCAAGCTCGAAGTTGTTGACGAGTATGTTTACCTGGGACAAATAGTCCGACTAGGTAAGTCCAACTTCGACCGAGAGGTCAATCGACGGATTCAACTCGGCTGGGCAGCGTTCGGGAAGCTACGACACATCTTCTCGTCAGACATACCTCAAAACCTGAAAACGAAATTGTACAACCAGTGCGTGTTGCCAGTGATGACTTATGGAACTGAGACGTGGTCCTTCACTGCTGGCCGTATGAGGAAGCTCAAGGTCGCTCAGCGAGCTATGGAGAGGGCTATGCTCGGAGTTTCTCTGCGTGATAAACTTAGGAATGAGGATATCCGCAGTAGAACCAGAGTAACCGACATAGCCCAACGGATTAGTAAGCTGAAGTGGCAGTGGGCCGGCCATATAGCTCGAAGAACCGACAACCGATGGGGAAGAAAGGTTCTCGAGTGGCAGCCTCGTACCGGCAGGCGAAGTGTAGGGCGTCCCCCCGCGAGATGGAGTGACGACCTGGTAAGACGTGCAGGGGGTCGATGGATGCAGGTGGCTCGGGCCCGTGCTTTGTGGCATTCTTTGGGGGAGGCCTATGTTCAGCAGTGGACTTGTTAAGGGCTGTAATGATGATGATGATGATACAAGTAACACAGTTTTGTGAAAATTTTTGTTATAACTGCAATTTCAATGTTCTTCTATGTTCGAAGTCGGCTCCGGGTGCCATGAGCTACATACAGTTACCGCTTACCATTGGGAGGTTTGCTAGCTTATTTTACTTAAATATTTAAATAGTATAAATTCAAAGATTTCATCTTATATTTTATAATATACAGTATTCATTACCATAATAAACATACCTAAAATTAAAAACTTAAATTATTATACAGTCCTTCTCAAACAAAGAAGGCTCTGCGTTTCCTTGCTGAATGGCTATACTTAGCCTTTGAGCGAGAAAACATCCAGTCTTCCTTTAGGAACTTCACGTTCTTTTCTTATATTCAAATTTGCTATCAACTTTTTTAATACAACAAAAGTAAAAAAAAAAAATTAAATCAATACGAATCTAGTAATAAAGTCTTTAGAAATCTAGACATTAAACTATCCTAATAATGTATACATTCCTCAATATACTAACCAGTAAGTTGCGGATCAGAGAATACAGTTCGCGCCTTCCTCCGACGGCAGTGCTTCAGCGCCGACAATGACAGCTCCGACGGTGTGAACAGCGCGTGATACGGCACGCCTGTCAATTTTAATAATATGTATAATTTATTTAATATAAAAAACGGAAGTTTATATTAAGTGAATTAAATTTCGTATACCTACATATTGTTGTCGTGTGCTAATTACACGTCTATATAAATATGAGGAAAATTAAGTTGTTTTTATGTTCACTTGAAAACAGTAAATAGGCACGTGTTATATAAAATATATATAAAAATTACGTGTCACGTTGTTTGTCCGCGATGAACTCCTAAACTACTGAACTGATTTCAATGAAATATTTCACAATGTGTGCAGTTTGGTCCAACTTGAGAGATAGGATAGTTTTATCCCGATAAGTGACCCTCAATTTTTTTTATTGCTAATCTCAGGAGCTTTTTTAGGAAAGCAAATGGTCGTCGGAAAGGGCAGAACAATGTCTGCCAGGTCAGCTAGTATAAAATATATTTTAAGCATCAAATTATCAAAAATAAATAATGAAATATGGGAAGTATATACCTGTAACAATATTATATTAAACCATTGAAGTAATGTAAAGTACATTATGCTTCAATGGATTAAGTACGTATTTTATTTCTCTATGAACATAATCGTCACAGAGCTCTAATTGTTAATATGTTTTATTTTTATTTTTATAGAACAAATATAAAATAGCACACAGTCCGCCGGATGATAAGTGGATGCTGCGGTCCATATATATCTACATCTAGCCTCGATTAAGAATCAAAATGCAGACGCGTTGTTACTCCTGAGCACTAAGATGGTATACATCGTTCCCAGTAAAATGCGTCTCCGGTTCCCTAGACTCACTATTTGAAACACAGCTGCATTAAGAGGCTATTTCACACTTGTATATTCTTATCTTGTGTTGTGAGAGCGTGGTGTTTCCTCGGTCGAGCCGACCCATTCGTGCTACAACCATAATAGTAATGCGTGGTAGAGCCATGTTCCATAGTTTGAAAAAATAAAACAAAACGCATGAGCCGAGAAGATTATGATAATATTTTTACTATTCTCACAAGGAGAATCACTGATAATGTACAACATTATGGTCAAGGTCATGCAATTATTGTATTTTCTACGATTCTTCAATATGTCTGTAAAATTTTAATTTTTTTTCAGGCTGCCGGAATTGTTTGAACACTGAACTATAAAATTGTATTATATTCTTACATACATTTTATATAAAGTGGCTATTTTTTAGAGGTACACTCATTCAAAATGAAATAAAACACGTAAAAGTAAAATTAATGACCATGATGTTGGCTTTATTTAAAATATATTTTTATGCTATTTGTGCTTAAATATGATCTTAGGCGTATGGGTGCCACGACTAGCTCGTATGAAGAGCATTCGGCAAGTCTAATTTTCGATCATTTTATCGAGCAATGGGAGCCGTATATCGGTAATATAGCGGTGAATGTTGGTTTCCTAGACTAGTGACTCCACATATTCCTGAAGAAAGTAGTCCATAGGTGTGAGAACACACGATCGTGAAGGTCAGTTTACGGGTCCGCGCGTTCTGAAATATGCGCTTATCGAATGATTCACGCAATAAATTGATGGTGTCGTGCGCTGTACGCCATCCTGTTGATATCAAACTCTGCCACATCAATACCATTCAACTGAGGAACGAAAAGTCAACAATCATTGCTTCATAGCGTTCTCGATTGAAGGTAACATTCTGGCCGGCATCATCTTTAAAGAATAAGGGCCAATGATTCCACATGCCCATAAAGCACATCAAACATTGACTTTTAATAGATGTAAGGGCGTCTCAAGGCTTTTGAGTTTTCTCCACTTCAAATTCGAGAAACCATACCATATTGACGTAGCCATTCAACGAAAAATGTGCTTATCCCTAAACATTTCTCTAGTGTTACACTTGTTCATGGTCTGCGGTACTTACTTACGATCAGGTGGGTCACATGCACGCTTGCCCTCCCTCTTATAAAAAAATTGATTTGAAAAAAGAATCAAGCTGAATTTTGTTTTCGGCCCTCTTTACCGAATGTACGGCGCGCATAACATGGTCACGTGGTTTCAACTCAAGCATAAGCTGAATCTTGTAATATTGTAAGCCAAGATTTTTTTTATAGGAGAGGGGGCAAACGAGCATGCGAAGTTGCAGTCTATCACGAGGTTCTTCTTAACACTGCGCTCCACTACAACAAATAACTTCTTCACACACTGTATGGCGTTCTTGTGGAAGCGTATTATCAACTAGTGTGCGTGGTGTGAAAACGATCCATGGTTTAACGAACAACTTGCTCGGATGGACGATTATGTTGACTCCCGTCCAGTTCAAAATAAAGTACGAAATGCAAGCGTTGTTCTGGTGTAATTCTATTCATGATGAAAGGGCAAAACATATTGACCACTAATCAACTGTCTACTGTTAAATTCACACTTTTCAATAGACTATTTCCAATTTAGAAACTAAACCTCTAAAAATATACATACATACAAGTCAAATTAATAAAATAATATATACTTTGATTAGGATGTACATATTATACAATTATATAACTATTCTCTTATATTCTTACTAAGAGCTAGTTTTGTTACAAATAAGAGAAAAACTTACATAATGTACAAAATCCTCGCAGACATATTATTTTGATATTGCATAAAATTTTACTCTAGCAAATTACATTATAATAAATCATTATATCATACGCTGCCGTGTAGTAACGGCGTAATAGATTTCGTATCTCTGTTTCGTGGATGTCCGAGGCTATTCTCAGAATTTGTAAAGATTTTATAGCCGCCTTTTGAAGGTATAGTTATTGTATTTCACGATGAAAGTTTAAATTTGGTTGTTGTTAGCCGTGCACACACAAATTGTGTTAGTGTGCGTAGGCCTGGGAGCCTACACACACTAACAAAATGTTTAAGGCCTCCAGTCACGATCGCGAGTCGAACGAATCGCAGTTACACACACAAACGCGCCTGTCACGTCACGTCACTGCTGCAATCAAGGCGAAACCTTCATCATGAAATAGAATAAATAAAGGGTAGCTATTCCGTATATGCCAGATTTAGATGAAAATAACGAAAACGTCGATTTAGAACAGCGTCAAAAGTGCGAGACGTCTATTACTGCTTCCCAATCTGCTTTTTAGGGTTCCGTAGTTAAACAACAAGGAACCGTTATTGTTTCGGCATGTTCGTCCATCCATCCGCCCGCGGTTTTACTGTGGTTTTAATCAGAGAGCATAAATGCTATAAAGCTGTAATTTGGCATGGTTATAGATATTAATCACGCATTGTGAAATTAATGTATGAAAAAAATTTTTATTTTAGGTACCTGGCAGGTATCTATCTAGGCAGGTGCTTTTTTTTTACCCGCCTATCTCATCATGTGGACTTCAAGAAAAGAGCCTACTCCTTTTTAAAAGGCCGGCAACGCATCTGCAATTCCCCTGGTGTTGCAGTTGTTCATGGGCGGCGGTAGTCACTTACCATCAGGTGAGCCGCATGCTTGTTTGCCCCCCTCTCCTATAAAAAAAATGTGGGCACGCCACCCACCCTTTGGATAGGATATTCCAAAATATTGGGAGTATGAAGTCTCATTTTTTCGATTCATGGATCCGTCTGCGAATTGTTTAGCTTTAGAAAGTGGTATTTTTATTAAAGTTATGTGACCCCACTCACTATCAACTAAACCGCTATTATTTGAAATGTGAAAAGTATGCACGATGGTAGTATATATAGTGAAGTTAAAAAGAAAACTATAGAATCTAACTAGGCTTAACAAGTCAACAAGTAATGATCGACACACATAAAATGCACTTGGATTAGTGAAAATTTCGTTACAATTCCATAGAAAATGACCTAAAACGCAGCTATAATGCTGCTAGTGTTATAACTAACTTTGTAATGTAATTATAAACTGTAAAAAATAAATAAATTACTTAAGTTTTTATATTTCTTAATTTTTTTGTATAGGATGGGGTGACAAACGAGCACACAGTCCACCTGATGGTAAGTGGTTGCTGTGACCCATAGACATCTACAGTTATTCGCAATAAAGAATCAAAATGCAGATGCGTCGTCACGCGTGCGATCTAATATGGTATGCCTCTTTTACAGTAAAATGGGTATCCGGTTCTCTACACCCACCGTACGAAACACAGCAGCGTTAAGCTGCTATTTTACGCTGGTTTTCTGTGAGAGCGTGGTCCTTCCCCGGTCGAGCCGACCCATTCGTGCTTCAACCATAATATAGCTGCAGCATGGCTCTACCACATAGACAAATGGCGATTTTGAATAAAAGTATTTTGACTTTGACTTCATATGTTGTGAAAGCGTGACAAACGAGCACAAAGTCTGGCTAAGTGCACGTTGCGGACTTCAGACAGAGCTAAAGCCATCCTTAAATGCAAAACAATAAATACGTTGATACCCCTACGGCCTAAAAACAAATGCATTTTTATCAATAAAAAGATTATCCCTTTCTAGTCATTTGACAAAACAGTATTCTGTTGCTATATTATTATAATTATATGATAATCTAATCGGTATTCAGTGATAATCGAATCGATTGATTCAGCCTGCAGCCAAATACAACTGCAGCGTGGCTCTACTACGGAAATCCGCACTGTTTGCCTTATATAGCGATTATGGGTTAAAGATACTGATATCAGACGCCAAGCGTTTCCTGCGATCGGAGTATTTATATTTGATGACCAGTAGAAACAAAGTAACCGACATAACCCAAAGGGTGGCCAATCCGACGTGTCAATGGGCCACCCATATAGCTTGGAGAACTGACAACTGACGCGAGAAAAGATTCTCGAGTAAGAACCTCGTAAGCGGAGTGTAGGGCCATAAGATAGAACTCGTTATGATGTTTGTTTGTGATGTGTAAAAACAGCAGTGCGCGCACTGATATTTGGTGACAAAAAGAGGTGTCTCAGATGAAATCCTAGGCAAAAAATAAAACAAAGAATAAAAAATATGTTAAAAATCTACACAATATTTTACCTTGAGATAAAAAGTAAGGCGTCTCCACAGATTTGTAAGTATTTGGCGTGTGCAGGTAAGCACCTAAAGCTCCCATAGCCACATGCAAATAGGACCCATCCCTTCCCGGGATATGCGGTCGGACCTCTCCGGGTACGGGGAAGAAAGGCTTTGGTTCCGGTCTGTCGTAGTCAAACCTTCTTGAATCGGGGGCTGGCTGTTTAAAACTTCGACTTTGACCTCTGTATAGAATGTCTTCAATTAAAAAAGAAGTTTTCGAATTATGTTCTTGACGATTCGAGTCTATGGGAGAGTCACTTCTTGTTTCTTGTTCCATTTTTAAAGCTCCAGCTTCTACTTTCGTTTGTTTGTATTTCTATTTTCATAAGTAATATTTGAAAAGCATTTTAGAAGAACTTATAACAGAGTAGTTAAAGTTTAATTCAATACCTTCTTTGATTTAAATTTCAAGAAACTCTTTCTGATAGAAATAAACAAAACTATTGTATTAAAGATAATTTTAAGAAGTGTGAAAGTTATATATAACAATATCGTCTATTCTTTATTCAACACTATTCCATAATTTTTTTTTCAAATCCCATAAAATAATATACAAAAAACAAACAAATGCTCGCGAATTAATACAATTGTAATTAATCACAGACTTTCGCTATTCCGCCGGTGGAATTATAGATCGATAATAATTACGTATAATTGTCAGTTTGCTCGTTGTTTTGAGGAAACGAGGCGATTTGGTCCGCGGGTCGAGGTAAACTGTCGCGTTTGGGATGGAATGGGAGTGACGGAGGGAGGCGCCAGCGAGAGAGGGATGGGGTGCCTCTAGACCTTAGAGGTGTCTATGATTCTGTCGTGTGATGTTTACACGAAGTGTGAAATTAATTTTAGGTTGACGTTTTTATTTTCTGCGAGCATATATTTATTTTAAAATATTCTATGTACAAAATTGAATAATTTTAAATTATTTTATTACTTATTGTGTAGATTTTTTTAATTAAAGGCAATCCTTAAACAAGTTTCAATATACATAGTCTGAACATATTATCAATTGGAGCTTTGAGGATATATAAAAACTTCTTTATGATTACCTCGCAAAAATTTTTAATGCTGCCCATGTCCCACACCGTTGTAGGAAGAATTTGTGAATTGACGTTTCACAGCTTGGAAGCTGCGTATGGTAGCGGCGTAAGGGAGGACCCCATTTCTCGGAATGGATCCCATGCTTGTCATAAGCGGCGACTATGGGAAATATCTGAATATTCTTATGTCTTCCGATAAATAACCATTTCGTTTACACCAGACGTAAAATGCCAAGACGGCAGCAGTGTTTAAACAAAACTAATCTAAAATTCCATTCCAATCTGCTAACTGAGCGAGGCGATAACGTACAAGTTTGGATATATAAGCCTAAGTTCAAAGCAGTGAACTTGTGGTCAGATATCGACGGGTAAAAATTAATTTATAATAATCATACAATGACACATACTCTCGGTTCCCTTATTATCGTATTTTGTAGGAAAACGACTCGGAAGGCATTTCAAATTGTACCAAATGATTCCCTACAGACTTGAATACCCGCTTTAATATTCTTAAGATTTGTTCACAGTTACGAAAACATTTGTTATAGAAAATATTATAAAGATATTTATAAAAAAAAACTGGCCTTCTTTTAGAGAGTCCAGTTCGATTTTATAATGATATTTTTATACTCATGACATTATTAATATCATTCTCATTATCATATATCATATAGCCTATCAAAGTTCACTACTGAACATGGACCTCCCCCATAGAACGGAAAATATTCCCCCTTTGAAGCAACAAAGGGGGAATATTTTCCGTAGAAGCCATGGTTGATAGACGGGTTTAAAACGGCAATTTTTATTATTTTGATTCTGCCTATCTCTTGTTTCAGTTCCTCTTTGTCGTCTCTGACAATACCCGCGGTATGATATCGGGTTAGTGTATTCTCATAGGCTTATCATAGGAACTTACCTATAATATTATGATTGGCTTAACAGGGCAATTATAGCCGTTTGACTGCAATACTTATTGCATAATTTTACTTTGAAAAAAATGTCCCGTTGGGTTTCTTGCTGTTTCTTTCCATGACACAGGTATTTTTCGAACCAATGGTAAAAGTCTTTTAATATGATTTCTTGAAATCTACATTGAATAAAGATAGAATGATCTTTATTCTATTTTAATTCTATTCTATACTGCGAGCCGTAGGTTCTAATCTCGCATGATATTTGTCCACGTGCAACTAATATGCGTACCTAAACTACGAGGCACTGAAAATTTCGGGAATCAAGGAAGTGACACAACATTACTATTTAAAAATGTATTTATTGCTTTTCGAAGTATTCTCCGCGAAATTTGACACATTTTTCTATACGATGGAACCAATCATTGAAGCAACCATTCCATTCGGAAGTTGGGGTCTCCAAAATGGCCGTTTTATAGGCGTCCAAAGCTTCTTCAGGTGATGAAAATCTCTGTCCACGCAATTTATTCTTTATTTTAGGGAAATTATAGAAATCATTAGGGCTTAGGTCGGGGCTGTACGGCGGATGGTCTAATAATTCTATGTTTTCTTGCTCTAAAAACTCTTTTGTTCTGTGTGCGGTGTGAGAACTCGCATTGTCGTGATGGAGGATGATGCGACGGTTGCAGTTCTCTTTACGGAGTTCAGAAACGACCTGTGGCAAACAAATGCTAGCATACCATTCTGCATTAATCATTCTTTGTCCCTCAAGAGGAATAGTCGTAAGATGGCCGGTTTTGGAGACAAACGTGGCCACCATTTTTTTTGCAACACTCCGTGAACGAACAATTTTTGTTGGCTTTAACTCATTTTCGAACACCCAAACTCGTGTCTGGTTTTTTGTTTCGGGTTCGTACGCATATATCCAGGATTCGTCACCTGATACGATGTTGTATACAGCATTAGAGGATCCTGCGTGGAATCTTTCGAGAGTTCTGACGCACCAAGTAACGCGAGCCGCTTTTTGCTCTTCACAGAGCGAATGCGGTATCCATCGGGAAAACAACTTTTTTACACCTAATTGTTCATGCAAGATTATTTGTATTTAACTCATGCCAATGTCTAAAGTTGCCTGAATTTCGCGGTATGTCACATGTCGATCTTCCTCAATCAGCATCAACGTTTTCTTAGGTGACTGCAGTTTTTGGACGACCTTGACGGGGATCATCACTGAGCTTGACACGTCCACGTTGAAATTCAGCAAACCAGCGATAAATTGTGGTTTTGGATGGGGTTTCATCACCAAATGCAGAAATCATCCGGTCGACACACTGTTTTTGTGTTAAACTACTTCGAAAGTCATAATAAATCATCGCTCTTGAATTTTCTCGAGTCAATTCCATTTTCTCAACAACTAAACAAGTTTGATAAAACCTTGTGACAAGACCGAGAATCTTTTTTTAAATAAATAAATAGTATTCGATTTTTAAAACCAAGGATTTTTCAATTAAAAAGATTTTAATATGACAGGAACAGTGGAAATATTCCATTCCCGATACTTTTAGTGCAGCCTATGTATAAAACTTTTTGATCTGAGCCTTATAATTTTTAGAGAAAATAAAATACTTTCGCCATTATTATTTTTTTATAAAACTGTAATAATTAATAAATTTACAGTTCACCTGATGGTGAGTGGGTGCTACAGTCCAAGTACCTACATTTGTAGCTCACTTCAAACAAAGACTGCTACAGATGCGTTGTCATCTCTAAGATAAATTACCTCACAGCATATAATTGTATTTGCTCTTATACTGTGTTCCGATCTCAAAGAATAGAGAGTCAGTACCTATATTTTTATACAAGTGGTAAAATAAATATTTAAGTCGATTGTACAACAATCGACTTCAATTTTTAACACAATGAACAAAAAAACATACCCTTGAATTGAGTACCTCCTCCTTTTTGATATCGGTTAAAATGCGTAAATAGTTCTTACTTAATTGTAGGTTTAGCTTCTGACTCTCAATCATAAAATTTTGATTGAGATTAGGGCGTTAAAGTTTTAAATCTGCACACGATTTAAGTCCGAAAATCGTATAGGTACTCGTCGAGGAAAACACCTATGTTATGTGTTGAATATTATCTCACGAATATTAATTCGGCCATTGGTAGTGAAGGTACTATTGACCCATGTGTTTTTTTCTATAGAATAAATGTGACAAACGAGCACACAGTTCACCTGATGGTAAGTGGTTACTATGGCCCATAGACATCTACATCTATCTTCGTTTGCGAATTAAAATGCAGATGTCAGCCGTGAGGACTAAGATAGAATGCCTCTTTTCCAGTAAAAAGGGCCTCCGGTTCTCTACACTCACTATACGAAACACAGCAGCATTAAGCGGCTATTTTACGCTGATATTCTGTGAAAGCGTGGTCCTTCCCCGGTCGAGCCGACCCATTCGTGCTACAACTATACTATTAATATAGCTGCAGCATGGCTCTACCACGTAAAATCATGTCTTACCAAGTTGACTCCATCTTTTGAAATATACTATAATATTTTTGTATTTTGTTCACCACATATTTTATTTATACCTGTAGACTCGAAATTACTAGGTATATTTTTTAAATAAAAACATTTACAACCCTATATAGCACTTAATAGTAGCGATTATAATGCAGGTATAGTAACCTATAATGTTTGCAACATTGTGTCTACGGTCTAATAAACCGTACGTACCTGTACACATTTTCGAGCAGATGGAATTTTGAATTACCTACTGTAAGACGACGTAACCCGCAAGCCGCGTCGGATCATCTCATGCAAAGTGGAGACGCGCATGCCCCAACCATCTTGATACTTTTCAGAGTCGCGGTTCGCGTCCGCATTTAGGTAAACTATGGGAGTAGGTATAGGAGAATTAATGGTTGTGTGGTATATTTGCCTCATATTCACCACCTCTGAAGTGTATAGATCAAATAAGTGTTCGAGACACTCACAGCACCGATTGTAGCACATCACTATTAAATTGGTACAACTCTATTGTAACCTTTTTTATAACTGTGAAATCGACATTCTCTCTCTTCTATAAGCGAACCTGTGCAGTATAGACGCAAATTTTGTCCAGTTTTTAATTATACAATAAACCAAGGAAATTAATTGTTTTCAATTAATACACAACCCCAACACTTAGTACATACACTATTAATAAAAACTACTTGTGAATAACCTGTTTAATAAAAATATTATTGTCAAAATCGGTTCACAATACACTATTAATAAAAACCACTTGTGAATAATCTGTTTCATAAAAAAATAATTGTTGAAA